TGTGATTAAATGAATAGGAATCTTAGGGAGAATGTGTGTCCTTGAGGTGAGAGTGTGGAGAGAGAGAGAGAGTTAGAGGTTGATAGGATTAATTTAGAATTATTTTAATGATTGAAATAATAGTAGTTTATTTGATTTATTTAATTAAAATGAGAAAATAGAGAATTTGGACCAAAAATGGAAAATGATCGTGACTTTATATATATGTCAAAATGCGTAACTGCAAGTGCACAGTCTATCATGTAGTTTTAAAATATTATCGAACCCATATAGACTAATAATCAAACCAATGTTATCTATGTTGCAATACACAACTAAGGCTAGAGGGATTTTAAATGTTCAGAACGAGAGTAAGAAGTGAAATTGCTTAAGGTTAGGAATACTAAAATGAGTCTGGAGTATGGATTCCGGGTGCCTAAAGGACTTGTAGAATAAAGGTACTACTTACGACCACAACTCGATTTTATAGGAAATACTGATTAAAAGACTCCATATCACACTCTCACGCTATTGACAAGAGCCACGCCAATTGACCCCAACATATTGATCTCGCTCGCTCGGTAATTAAAAAGTGTGTTTTGGAAATCGGTAAAACTTAAATGATGCCTAAAGCGCTCTCGTTGTTTTTAGGATTGATGCTTAGTTTCTACTATCTAGTGCGTACCTCAAACTCTCGCTCTATTGGTCGCACTTTGGTATATTTCTCATTCTCATGACGAAATAATAAACTTTCAGAATTAGAAACATAAACCAAAAACAAGTAAGACTAAAATTATCGCACCTATACAGAGTCCCGGTAACGAAGGTCCTCATACAACAGTCTCAGATGAATTTATCCAAGCATTATAAATCCTAAATCTAACATATCATGGGTTATAGAAATAGATGCGAGCATGTTAAAGCTAATTTTCAATAACAACAACAGTTTAAGAACAATACTGTTAATTTGAAAAATATATATAAAATAAGGACTATAAGAATGAAAACCTGTAAGAAAAACGTAAACAAAATTGGAATTAAAATTCCGGCAAGCTTGTTCTGATCCAAGAGTACAAATGATAGCAGAAAAATGAAAAGAGCGTGACAATCCCTCAATGTGAGTTATTGTCACTTTTACAAGTAATTTTTATGCTTAGAACTAAATTGACAAAGCTTCCACACGAAATTTGGATATCAAAAATTGATTATGAGGTTCTATATATAGAGGAAAGGGCCCTTTAACTTCTATTGGGCGCGGTTAAACAGAAGGGAAGATTCAAAGTTCCAAACTGCAGTTAAGTGCTTCTTCAAAAATAGAAAAACTATACCGCGACTGAATGGCAATCGCCGTTGGGGCCATGGCAATCGCCATTGCTTCAAGTCATTAATTATGTGGTAGGGGGGATAAAGGCGAACGAATGCCATCTCCATATGGAAATGCCATATCCCTATGGCGAACGCCATATCAGGCTGAGAGATAAGAATTTACGTATTTGTTGTACTTTGGCTCTTTTTCCGCTCTTTCTCCGATTTAGCTCCGAATTTGCGACCGATGATCAAAGCAACTTCAAAACAACAAAAAGAAGGTAAAATGAAAATAAACAAAATAAAATGCGGACGGAAAATATGCACAATGAGCTTAAATACATGATATAGTTTCTCATTATTAGAAAATAAGAGAAATATAAGGGATGAAATAGTGAAAGAAGGTTAAGTGAGGGAAAAATTACAATGTAAATATATTAATATCCTAACTATTTAAGGTTAAACATAATTCAAGTTTAGAGAGCCCTAACTTTGATCAGTATGTAGAAAACTGAAGTTGGGGCAAAGGAAGACAAAAGGGGGGCTAGAGGTTGAAGGGAGAACACATTTAAATCAATTCAGATTCAGATTTTTTGCTAGGAATTAAGGTAAGAGGGGAGAACTACTTCTTTAATGGGTATACACATGAGGGGTGGAATGAGAAATCCTTAACCTCCAATAGAATTTTATGTATTGAATATGAAATATGTATAATCTGTGTTATTTTGATATTGTATGATGATTTCAATAAACAAATTCGTGTACCAATATGTGATGAATATTCTGTTATAAGTTGTTTTCATGTTTATGCCATGGTTGGTATTTTGAAGGTTTAGGGATAATGTAAAATCATGAAATTTGTTGAGTAAATGGGTTGGATTGATGAATCAACATGTTACAGTTGTTGTTTAATGCATGTAATAAAATTTCTGGATATTGTTATGAGTGTTTGGGATCAAAATTGGAGTTCTACACTGAACTATGTTTCTGTAAACACGTTTCGATCACCTCCCGAAATTTAATCCAGTGAAGTTGCAATTGTGTCTGTGTGATTTCGATGTATGTATGGGTTTTGCCCTGTGTTTGCTTGGCAGGAGAGATTGCATATCTTAAGAGATTCGAGTTGCACGATGAATGTGCGTGTCAACTCAAGAAGATTGTCTTGTTTAACCCCCAGGTGGGAGCCCCTATTTATAGTATAAGCCTTAGCGCCCCTAAACAGTCACATTTAGTAGGCTTTATGGCCATAATAAATGTAACAACTTATTTAATCACTTGTAACATGTTCCATAAGTGTTTGTAATGGTTTATAACCATTGACCTTTCTGTAACCGAGCCGGTCATGATTGCTCAGACGATCTTCTAATACCTCGACATCAATAATACGACGTATCCGACTTGTATTCTCGGCTCTAAGAATTCTGGAGTGTACATAAATCCCCGATCATGAGACCTATCGGGTTGAAGTGTTCGAACAAAGAATTTCGAAATTCTCTACACTCCTACCCTGCTGAAATTCGTATAGGTACCTCCTCGCGTCTTGATGACGTGGATAGTGGATTATTAAAGATAATGATCATGGACATCTTTATGACACTTTTTCTCTCTTCTTTTCATAGTTGGAGAAAGGTGTTCGATGGATAACTTGGTGGTTGAAAAGAAAATCAGAGAATCCTAGTAGGTCTTCGATCTGTGATCAATGTAGAAAATAAAGTATGAAATAGATTATATAAAATATATTATATTAATAAATAATAACATAAAATACACAAAAAAATATGATTATACGAATGAATATAATGTTTAAAAAAAATATTATAAACCGATCAACTGAACCAAATCAAACCAAAATAAACCCGTTAATTTGATTCGGTTTCATTTTAAAAAAAAATATTAAAAATTAAATCAATAAAAATATTATTGGTTCAAACCTTTTTTTTAACAAAAACTAATCCAAATCAATCAGATAATTCAATATATTAATCAAATTTAGTATATTAAACAAATTTAATATTCAAATCTATCTTAAAAATCAAAAAGTCATTCAAACATACCATTAATGTAAAAAGATTTGAACCTTAGTTTGACCTACGTGGAAAATTAGTCCAATATGTTAATCCTAATAATCATCATTGGGAATATTTTAAGAGTTTATTGCATTTACCTTAAAAACATATTTGACCATAAAGATAAAATACATTAAAGTGTTTAAATTAAATTGACATAAATCTTACCGTTAATTTCAATTTATTTGATTGACTTACATTTAATTTAATGAGTCATATAATAATTATGATATCCTAATCTTTATGAATAAGATAATAAATTATCTTCACCCAAAAAGTAATACTATTACTATTTTTTCTCTTAGATTCTATCTTCCATATAAAAGCATAATTGTAAATTGTAATTTGTGTTAGTTAAATATTGTTAAATTTTTATTGAATTATAAAGAGGATAATTTTTATTTTATATCGTTTTAACACATCAACATCATTTATTCACTAATTATCAAAAGGACAAAGACAAGATGCATGTTCCGATAAGTTGTAAAACTGAAGTTACTCAAACTTTTAACCTCACATGCTTATTGTCAGAAAATTCTAAGTATAAAAACTTATTATTTTGCCGCTATATTAACTTTGTAACAGTTTAATACAATATGATTATGTTAAATAATTATGAATTATTAGTATTTAAAAAGAAGAAGAAAAAAACAGTTTAACGAAAAGCAAAAAAGCTGGTTCTTCTCTCTACACGGCGTGGATAGTTGGCAAATAGTTTTCATTATTTTCTCTCTCAAATTCAACTTTCTCGAAAACCAAATATACCTTTTGTCAGAAACTTTCTTTACCATTTTCTTTGATCGCTCTCTCACTTCTTCACCGTTCTGCTACATCACCATCATCACTGCTCTGTTTTCTGCTTCATCTGCTGTTTGATCAGTGATTGTGATTCATCAGCTGCTTTACGACTCTCCGATCATGTTTTGGATTCTCTGAACTTCATCGATCGAGTTCATCTTCAATCGGAGAATCTAGGTTATTTTTCTTGTTGATTAGTAGAAAATTATGTGAGATGATGAGAATGAGAATTGTGGTTGTTTAAGCAAAACACCTGAACTGAACTGAATTGGATTTTATGTTTTCTATTTTGAGTTTGCTGGTTTAGGTTTGTGGATGATTGCATTAACACATTTTGAATTTCTTTTCCTTTTTCGGTAATAGATGTTTAGTGAAATCGGAGGATCTGTTTGTGGAATTGTTTTCTATTTGGTTTGAAGTGTTTTGATGATTTCATTTTTGAATGGTGTTTATGTTTATGTTTATGTATATTTAGTGTTAGATCGGAGAGATTTTATGTTTGGTTAACTTGAAGGTGTTTGTTGATTGGGATTGGTCCCTATGAGATTAGGTTCAGTGGAAGTGAGAGTGGCTTTGTGTTATTGAGTTTTTACAGACTAGGAATCACGATGTTTGTGAATACAGACTTTTTGAGAGAGGAGAGCACCACTAGATTGTAGAGTTTGTGTATGTTGAGGTATGGACCTATGGTCCCCTCCATTATGTTTAACTGATTAAGTCATTCCATGGGACCTAGTTAAAAAGTTTGATAGGAACTTTTGGTTGAAGAGGGGATGCTCTTGTTGTCTTTTAAGTATTTCTTTTGTTGGTAATGATTTTTGGTTGTGTTGTGGCAGAGCTATTTAAGGAAAAATGTCTATGAGATCCAAGGCTCTTCATACTCTCCAGCCTATCAAATCATTGCCTCCTGGTTTCAAGGTTAATGGTAATCTTGGCCGTGATGGAATGGAAAGCCGGGGAGACTCTAAATTGAGGAGTAGTGGTTTGGTTCCGTCAAGTAGTCCCGAAAGTAATGCAATTACTGAAGAAGCTGAAGATCGTACCAGTGGCATGGGTCTTTTCAATGAGGACCTAGCATATAGTGGAAAAGTTGCAGATGAAGACTTGGAATCTGTTCCTCTTCCCTTCCAATCAGTTTCAGCATCCTCTAGGGAATCAAGGTGGAGTGATACAACACCTTATGTTTCAAAGAAGGTACTTTTAGCTTCAGATTTCAATTAATCTTATTCTAGAAGTTTAAAGCTCAAAGTTATGGTTATTCTAGCTTAATTGTATTGTCATTACTTTTATATGATCTTATAAAAAATAAACCCCTACCTCAGAATCGTATTTTTGAAACTTGAAAGTTCATATTCTGTGTTGCCAATTTTGGTTGATTGTCCGGTCCGGAATATAATTGGAGTCAGTTGAAAATTGAAACCACAACTTAGATAAAGGTAGGCCAAAAAAAATGAAAATTGGCGCGAGGTGATCTAGACTTATATCAGAAATCCCGTGGCAAAAAAATCTGGAATTTATCCAGAATCAAAGAAAATATCAGGTTTTCTACTGTCTAAAATTCCACTGCTTTGGAGCAGTAGCTTTAAAACATAGTTTTTTTTTTCAGTAACAAATTCATCCCATTTCATTAAAAACAAATTGTGCAATACAAGAAGGCAAACCCATGGCATCGCCTTCTGTAACAGATACCTTTACGCAACTCAAATGGTGTAGGCTTTGATGAAGCCCCCATATGCATCTTGAAGACAGCAAACCTATGTTTGTGACTCCCAAATTCTGATGGAAACATGCATCCAAGTTATATTTCCACTTTCCAGTGAAATGAAAGATTTATTTCAATTTCTTTGATATGCATAAAGTTTGGAGGCGATTAAGATTGGGGCCAGTCATGGTCTTATTTGTCTTCTGCTATCAGTTTAATCCATTATTGTTTTTGACATATCTGTATGCGGTGGTTTGAAAATCAAAGTTGATTAATTATTCATTCTTTTTTCGTAACATTTTTGCTCTTCATCGACTCAGTTCATGTACCCTTCCTGCTGACTGCTGAGAGGTCTTGTTTTTATAAAATGTTATTTATGTCAATTAGAGATTTACTATTGATTGTTGTTTGTCACTATTCTATTGCCAAACTAAAGCATATATACCTCTGTTGTTCTATGTTATGTTTTACTGGGGAATGCCATGCAAATATAAATAATTCCACTGTTACTTCAATTCATCTTTTCTAAAAGATTCATAGCCGAGAATACTATGTTAGCAACTCCTGAAAATAATTTGATGAGCTTGAGTTATCAATCATTATTTGATTGACTTAGATTTGGAAATTGTTGTCTTTCCCTAACTTCTGATGCTAATTATTTCAGAAACTTCAGTCTTGGTTTCAACTTTCAAATGGGAATTGGGAGCTGGCAAAAATAATAACAAATTCTGGAATAGAATTAGTTATTTCATTGCCTGATGGGAAGGTAAGATACATAAGTTTTGATGTTTCTCAAGAGTGGCATTCTTCATTTTTAGCTTTGTTAACTGCAGTCTCACCTTGGGACTTTTATAGGTTTTAAAAGTGAAACAAGACAGTTTGGTACCAGCAAATCCTGATATTCTTGATGGAGTGGATGACCTCATGCAACTTAGTTATTTAAACGAGCCTTCAGTTTTATATGATCTACAATATAGATACAATCAAAATATGATTTATGTAAGCTTTTGTCTCTTCAAAGTTTTTCATAATATTTTATCTGATCATAACTCTTATGTTTATATGTGTAACTATATTTAATTCAGACAAAAGCGGGGCCTGTTTTGGTCGCTATAAATCCTTTCAAGAAAGTTCCTCTGTACGGTAACAATTATATTGAAGCCTACCGGCGTAAGACAACTGAAAGCCCACATGTATATGCAATTACAGACACAGCAATTCGAGAAATGATACGAGGTAACTTTTTATTTCCTCATATGAATATATATTGATAGAGTTTTAGCTCTTAAAAGTTAAGAGCTCTTCTATTTGTTTTAAGCAAGAACTTACTCTAACTATTGCTTTGTTTTCCAGATGAAGTTAATCAGTCTATAATCATCAGGTCAGTTATTTTTGTTGAATTCAGCTTTAATGGGTAACTGACATATTGTACACAATTTAATTTCTATAAGCTGCTTTCATTAAAATTTTATTTTTACTACAGCCTCTGTAAATACTGTATCACATTCAGTGGTTAATGAGTAACTAGTAACCACTTGAGCGGTTAATTTTTTTCATTCCATTTATTAGTATTCTAGTCGCCATATGAAAAGGAATATACCCCTCCCAAAGAAAACTAGAAAACCTTGTATAATTAGCGACTCTTCATAAATATTTGAGATTTATAATATTCTCTTTTATTTTCTTATGACTTTCAAATTTCTAGATGCATGTACTTTGTTGTCTTTTCAAAGACCAAGTTTCATGTATATTATATTATATAGTATTGGCCTAGTGGCTGGAATTTCACCTCTTAAATATTATATATTGGCCTAGTGGCTGGAATTTCACCTCTTAATTAAAGGTGAATAAGTAGGATGTCCCGGGTTCGAATCCGCGCCCCTGCCGTTGGATTTCTTTGCATAGCTAGCAACTCAGCTGGCTTAATGGGACAATATTTATTAATATATTTTTTTTATTATACTAGAACCACTCTTTGTAGTATGTTATTCGGGTGTGTTTGTTGCTTAAGTTCTTCAATTTTTATTTTCCATTTATTTTCAAAGATGTTTTAACTTTCTTAGAATGTAGAAACATTACCACATTTATTGCATAGAGACATACATAACTTGAGGATGCCCTCATTCTTACTTACCTGGTTTACATTATGATGGATATACATGCTTATTTGCACTGTGTGCAGATTTTGTTATTATTGTGAAATGTTTTTGGTTGTTCTTTTCCTTGTTTTCCCCTAAGTTGTGTTGTGCTTGAATTGGGGCATATATTAATAGTTGTCATCTATATATTCAGTGGTGAGAGTGGAGCTGGGAAGACCGAGACAGCTAAGATAGCAATGCAGTACTTGGCTGCTCTTGGAGGTGGGAGTGGAATAGAGCATGAGATATTGAAGACTAATCCAATACTAGAAGCCTTTGGTAATGCTAAAACTTTGAGAAATGACAACTCAAGTCGTTTTGTAAGATCTCTGACCGATCATATTAATTCTTGAAATGACTATTTATGGGTTTCATGTTTTGATTCTCTATCTTTGTTAAAACTGTTATTAAATATATTCTTCAACAATGGAAGTTCTCATGATTTGGTTGATTGCGTGACAGGGAAAGCTCATTGAGATTCACTTCAGTGAAACTGGAAAAATTTCTGGTGCTAATATTCAAACATGTAGGTTTTCTGCTGTTTATTGGTTGAAACTTGAAACTAGTGTGCCTTTTTCCCTCTAATAGTTTATAACTAATTATGATGTTAAATGTTTGCATATATGTGCTGAATTCATCTGATGCTCCTGGCCTGGCATCAACAGTTTTGCTTGAAAAGGTAATTATTAATTCTTCTGAGCTAATTTTTCCAAGTTTTGTCCAGATTACATCAGAAGAGACTAATGTTTTTTGGTATTTGGACAGTCTAGAGTTGTTCAATGCAATGAAGGGGAGAGGTCATATCATATATTTTATCAGTTATGTGCTGGTGCACCACCATCTCTTCGGGGTATTTACAGGCTTGTATTCAACTATTTCTCTTCTGCTAATATTTTGTAGCATATTGTGAATTTTTATCAAGTCCTTATTGATGTCGGGAAATTCCAGTAACAAGAAATATTTGTATCGATTATAGTAAAACAGCTTGTTTTTTTATTGTAAAATAGAAACTCATTCTTATATTGTACACAAAATGCATGGCAAAAGGTTGTTTCAAGTGTTTCCGTTCCGTGTACTAGTTGGATTGATTATAATGCTGCAAACTTTATAAATATAATTAAAAAATGGTTTCTTTTGATAATAGAACTTGGTAGATGTAGTAGGCATCTATCCTGACTAACAGGATACTATCAAGTTATTATCAATAGTATTCAAAATTCTTATTATTTTCTCTCCACATTAGATCTAAAATCTAAAATCCCACAACTTCAATAGGAACAATACGTTCCATAAGCTCTGTATATTTGTATTTCACTTGTCTGTAATGTTTAATGTTCTTTATCCTTGTTTATTTGACCCACCCTTCATTGATTGTTTGATGTTTGATTTATTGATTCAGAGAAGCTCAACCTACGAAATGCAGAAGATTATAAATATTTGAAGCTGAGCAATTGTTATTCAATTACTGGTGTTAACGATGCAGAAGAGTTTCGCATAGTCATGGTACTCTATTTTTTGTCGTTTGAAGATGACTTACCTTTCGTAGATAGAGGTTTTGATTATTGTTCGTATCAATGTTTTTATTGACTGATTGAGTTTGAAATGACACTTTGACACAAATAATAACCTTTTTCTCACTATTAACAGGAAGCTCTTGATGTTGTCCACATCAGTAAAGAAGACCAAGAAACTGTATTTGTTATGCTTGCTGCAGTATTATGGTTAGGGAACATATCATTTACTGTTATTGATAATGAAGACCATGTTCAAGCGGTAGAAAATGAGGGTAAGAAATTTCCAGAACCTCTACTAAATGCATGCTTCTTTTATGTCTGATGGGTTCCTAATTGCTATTGGGACACTTGTTTTAACATATACTCTGAATCTTATGTTGTAATGTACTGCATGCAAATTTATATCTAATATATTAAAACGTGCCCGGACTTGTTCCAATAAGCATGGCTTGAATGGTGAAGTGAATTGTTGATGATCAAATTTCTTAAAAGCTTAATCAGTTAGGCAAGAAAAAACAAGTACAACATGAGGATACAACAAACTTTTAAAAATACTGATTATACAAAGTTTATCATGATTTCCTCTTCATAACAAATCTATATCATTATGACATCATCACACACTATCTATCTGAAGACTGATGTATTTCTATTTAGAGTCTTTTCTCTCATACCTCCCTTAAATTGAATATTTTTTTGACTTCTTAAGGTTTGTTACACGTTGCCGAATTGATTGGCTGTGACCTAGAACATCTCAAGTTGACTCTATCAACTCGCAAAATGAAAGTTGGTAATGATAAGATCGTCCAGAAGTTGACATTATCACAGGTAAAATGGCTTGTGTTAGAAGTTTAAACTTTTCGAAATTTTGGATGGAAAAATTGTAACCTTCTAGTTACTAAAGGGGGTATCTTGGGAACACGGATTTAATGCGTCCCTTTATGCATATATTAGAAAGAAAAGGAAATATAAAATTAGCAGGTAATGAACACTGTCATGTGTTCTTTTTCTTCTATGGATGCACCATTTAAATGTTAATGGTCATTGGTGCATCAGTGTTGTATGAAGAAGCCCATCCCCATTGGGTACGACCATGTTAAGGGTCTCAGTATTACAACAGCTTCAGTGCATTTGTACCAATTTGTGATTTGTGTGATTTCGTTCTGAAGTTCTGTATAAATGGGCTTCAATACTTGAGTAACTTTGAAATAACCGATTATGTTTACAAAAAAAAATTATGGCTAGCTCTGAGAGTTTGAACTGAACAGCTTAACATATTTTTTGGGTTGGGGTGGTGACGGTTTATAGCTTTATATATTCTAGATTCTATATTCTAAGTCATGATTTCGTGTTGTAATGCTCACCGAATAGAGTGCTTAGACTGCCGAATAGAGTGATTAGACCTCAGTCACTTTGTAAAATACCAAATGAAATGAAAGCAAAATGATGGATATAATCTTTGTCAATATCTAACATATTATGTTTTGTCTTATAGGCAATTGATGCAAGAGATGCTTTGGCAAAGTCTATATATTCATGCCTTTTTGATTGGTTGGTTGAACAAATAAATAAATCACTTGCTGTTGGCAAAAGACGTACTGGCAGATCAATCAGTATTCTAGATATATACGGCTTTGAATCATTCAACGTATGTCATATTTAACCGTATCTCATTCTTTCTTTGTATTTATCTGACTATCCTTTTCCTGTTTAAATTTTAAAGTATTTTGGCTCTTTGATGTTGCTACATATCTCTGCAGAGAAACAGTTTTGAGCAGTTCTGCATAAATTATGCAAATGAAAGATTGCAGCAACACTTCAATCGTCACTTATTCAAGTTAGAACAGGAGGTATGCATCCCACATAAACTGATGGTTCTAAACAAGTATTGAACACCTTAAAAAAGAGAATATAATAAATACAATAAATACCAACCTGGAAAAGCCAAACATTTTCTTGTATTTATTGATTGATTGTATTCAGGAATATATTCAAGATGGCATTGATTGGGCTAAAGTTGAATTTGAAGACAATCAAGACTGCCTTAATCTTTTTGAGAAGGTACAGAACTTTAGCGTGCTTGTAATTGAATGGTTGCAATGGGAAAATGGTGGCTAATCTTTAAATTATTGTTGGTAATTATTAAATGAATAGATCATATACGATATTAGGTTCTAATAAATAAGCTCACAGGAGCTTACTGTACGAATGCTTGTGATTGAATGGTTGCAATGGGAAAGTGGAGGCTAATCTTTTAAATTATTGTTGGTAATTATTAAATATTCTAGTGTTGAATTTGACTTTTGATACACATATTTGCAGAGGCCATTGGGGTTATTATCACTGTTAGATGAAGAGTCCACTTTCCCAAATGGCACAGATTTGACATTTGCCGACAAACTTAAACAGCATTTAAATTCCAAATCTTGTTTTAAAGGAGAAAGAGACCAAGCCTTTACTGTGTGTCATTATGCCGGAGAGGTAATAGTTTGACATTTTCACAAAATATAGTGAATTACCGTTTTAATTGAAATCTCGTACTGAACATTTTAATAGCTCCAAAATACTAGATTCTTAAGTTAGAGGGTGGCCTGTTGATTCAAATTTGTTCATCCTACCTGACCGTTGTTTGATAGCTCTTTTTTATCCTTTCTTTAGGTAACTTATGATACAACTGGGTTTCTCGAGAAGAATAGGGACCTATTGCACTTGGATTCCATCCAACTTCTATCCTCATGCACATGTCGTCTTCCTCAAATATTTGCATCTCATATGCTTACACAGTCTGAAAAGCCAGTAAATGGTCCTTTACACAAGTCAGGTGGGGCAGATTCCCAAAAGCTAAGTGTTGCAACAAAATTCAAGGTATTTCATTTTCATTATGAGGTGATCCAAAACATCAAGTATCATGAAATGGGCTAAAACACTGGCAAACTAAAATTTTGATTCTTCCAACTTCATATTCAGTATATATCCTAAATTGTCTTATTCTATTGATGGTATTTATCTTGATCAAACTATGCAAAAATATTGCACTTGTGGAAAATAGGCTGTCTCATCAAAATATTAATTAGCATACTCGTGATATGGCCTATACCAAGATGTTTCAAATTAGTTAGTAATAAAAAGTCACAGTTTAAACCAAATAAATATTGTGTGCATCTTGGTTTAGATTATCAGAAGTAGGAAACAATACAAATGCAAAAAAAAATAGTTTTGTGGGGTATTGCAAGATAGAGTATAGAGTAAAAACTCCAATGTACCAAACCATGCGTCATATGAAAGCTAGATACATAATCAAACTTTTCCTCCATTTGCATGCAGGGTCAGTTGTTTCAACTGATGCAACGCTTAGAGAGCACAACTCCACATTTTATTCGCTGCATTAAACCCAACAATCTTCAATCACCAGAATCATATGAGCAGGGGCTTGTACTGCAACAGTTGAGGTGCTGTGGGGTGCTGGAAGTGGTTCGAATATCAAGATCTGGCTTTCCGACAAGAATGTCTCACCAAAGGTTTGCCAGAAGGTATATGACAGAAAGGAACCAATGATTCGTATCCTTTCAGTTACTTCCATCATCTACACCCCATCCCCTCTGCCCTGGTAGTTTTCTTATATCTAACTCCAACCTTTTTCTTATTGGATTGGGTGTGGTGTATCAGATATGGCTTTCTTCTCCTTGATAGTGCTGCATCTCAGGATCCACTTAGTGTTTCAGTTTCAATTCTTCATCAATTTAATATTTTGCCTGAGATGTATCAAGTTGGCTACACAAAATTATTTTTCCGAACAGGGCAGGTAATTTCTTATATCATGAAAATTGTGATACGGGGTTTTTTTCTGACTTCCTAAAGTACTCAGCAGAATAATATATTTATGTAACAGTAAATTTACAAAGAAAATAATGTTGAATTCAATTTACTATGTGAATAATTATGAGCTAACACGCTATCCTAAGTTGCATCGAACCTATTCTACTACTATAAAATGAATCTAAGCCTACTTGGAAAGTGGAACATCAATCATATTCAAACAAATACAAATAATTTTCTTTGATCCACAAAACTTTTTATTATCTTCATGTACTTTATATTTTGTAATCCACACAAGCATGGTGCATGCAAGAGATATAATATAAAAAAGGGTACTGATGAAGAATGCTATGTATATGCGTGTGTTTTGGCGGTGAAATAATATTACACCCGCGTTCAGTTCAAAGCTATAGTTTGTAGCTTTTTGAATATCTCACTGTGAAAAGGCTTAATACAGTGTGGTGGAGGTGATTAGCCACACACATAAACTCAGGACAAAATTGATATTAATTTTGTTAATGTTACCATGTACGATTAGGTTTTAGTTGTTAAATAACAAGAAATAGACCTTTAGTGATTGTGGATTTAAATGAATAAGTATTTCCAATTTATATAGTTCTATTTACATCCAGTATTGGCTTCCTATATGAGATGTCTGCCATGATGATATTTATTTATTTTAAATTTAAGTTGCTTTGATCACGTTTCAGATTGGCGTGCTTGAAGATACTAGAAATCGTACCCTTAATGGCATCTTACACGTGCAAAGTTGTTTTAGGGGTTACCAAGTTCGTCATTCTCTCAAGAAGCTTCAAGGAGGAATCTCTACTTTGCAGTCATGTATTTCCCTTTTCTCTGTTTCATTCTTTTGGCCTTTAAGATGGTCTTAATGTAAGTATTGCATAATGGAAACATATTATCTATGCATGCAGTTATTCGGGGAGAGAAAACAAGAAAGGAATATGCTGCTTTGCTTCAGAGACATAAAGCTGCTGTTATTATACAGAAGCAGATAAAAGCAGTGTTTGTAAGAAACAAAGTTCGGACTGTTAAAGATGCTACAATTGTCATACAATCAGGTTAGAGTTTATATTTTGTAGATGCCAAGAATCATAATACCATTGTTTATTTATTTTGGATGTAAGAGCATCAGATACAATGCGCATCTGATACCATGATATGCTGTTACTTGAAAAATACAGGATATAATTGAAGATACATATGTATAAGTAAATACAATTATTCACAAAACATAAATGAAAATATTATTGCAGTGGCCAAGAATAATGATGAAATTCTCAATATAGGTGAAGAAATGTGATATAAATTGCATCTTCATAATTAACATATATAATAAATGGGAAAATGGGGATTACTAGCTTTGAATATAGCTGAAGAAATGTGATATAACTTGCATCTTCGTGATTAACATATAAATGGGAAAAGGGGATTACTAGCTTAATAATGAATGAAGCAGTGATATAAATTGCAGTTGTCGCAACTAACAGCAAGAGTATCCGCACTGAACATAAAGAGTAATGAAGAGTATGAGTCAAAAGTGTCAATGGCATGTCGGGAGTGTATCCACAGTGTACCTGCATATTTTAATTTATTTAAAAAACTTTGATCTCTGATATTGCACCGAAGTGTACCGACAAGGTATTGGAGCTTATCAAAGAGTATCATCAAGTACGATACGAGAAGATAAAACAAAGTAGTGCATATTAGGCTCCCAAAAACTAGACACCTTTTTTTTCCAAAGAATAATAATTGATCTTATTTGTGACTTCTTTTTAAACAGAGAATATTGAATTCCTACCTAGATGTGAAAATGATAGATGGATACAAGTTTGCATTGCATCGATATTGCACCAAGTTCTTTGCATTTCAAAATTTATTGTTAGTGCAATACAAGAGAATTATGCATAAAATGGTTATATTTTGTTCTAATGTGAACATCTGTCATTTCATTGACATTTTGGTAAATTTTCATAATTTTGGTCGTGCTACTCTTTGCAGTTATTCGTGGATGGTTGGTCAGAAGATGCTCAGGGGATATTGGATTTTTGAAATATGGGGACATAAAGGTATTCTTTTTCCCCCAGTCCAGAAACTATTTAATATCTAAACATTTATTTTATACAATAGGAAATTTCTTATATTCTGATTTTAGAAGCTTCATCTTCGTGATACTAACAAACATGAACTCCGAAACAGACAAAAGAATCAGATGAGATTTTGGTCAAGGCATCTTTTCTGGCTGAATTGCAGCGCCGGGTACTTCAGGCTGAAGCTGCCTTGAGAGAGAAAGATGAGGAAAATGACATCCTTAACCAACGTATCCAACAATATGAGAGCAGATGGTCTGAGTATGAGTCGAAGATGCAATCCATGGAAGAAGTGTGGCAGAAACAAATGAGATCCCTTCAATCTAGCCTCTCCATTGCCAAGAAGAGCCTAGCTATTGATGACTCCGAAAGAAACTCAGATGCATCTGTTAATAATGCAAGCGATGAGCGTGACTACAGCTGGGACGGGGGAAGTAATCACAGGCGCCAAGAAAGCAACGGAACAAGATCGACGAGTGCTAGTTTGAGTGTAATAAGCCGGCTTGCTGAAGAATTTGAACAAAGGAGTCAAGTATTTGCGGATGATGCCAAGTTCTTGGTTGAGGTAAAATCTGGTCAAGTAGAAGCAAGTTTGAACCCAGATCAAGAACTTAGAAGGTTAAAACAGATGTTTGAAGCTTGGAAAAGGGATTACACGGCAAGATTGCGTGAAACCAAGTTGATTATAAATAAACTTGGAACTGAAGATGGCGCAATTGAGAAAATGAAGAAAAAGTGGTGGGGAAGAAGGAACAGTACAAGGATAAACTGATTTCGACTTTCTTACCTCTTATTTAATATTTTGGGTTCCCGTTTGGTCTGTGCACTCTTTCAAGAGCATTGCCAACAAAATATGAGAAAATGAGGAAAATACAATAGGTAAAGGTAAAAAATAGGAGTAATAGGAAAAGTCCACGGGTGGAGTTTTTTTACTACTACTACTGGGTTAGTTATTGCCACCTTGCGGCATAATTTATCACAGTAATGAAATAGAGGGAGAGAGAGAGCGCTTTGTAACACCATATTGTGTTATTCTTTGATTTTATTGAGGGCTATACTGCAGACCTTAGTGATTCATGAATTCCTTTCTGGTATGTGAATTGTATATCATATATATTTTAGAGGCCTGAAAATGTAAAGTAGTAGTGTGCAACTTATTGGCCGTGCTGCAGTTATTGTAAAATACTGATATTTATAGAAATTTATAGATTGATATTCTTGTAAAACAATGAGTATTGATTGTTAGCTGAATTGGTTGAATAATTATCTGTCCTCCTCATCCTATTTTGTTCCCTTTATTGGTTCCAAGTGTCCTTTATTGGTTTCCTGGTCATCCAATTTTGTTGTAACTGAATTTTCCTTGTTATCCACTATTATGTCCATTATTACACGTCTCCCCCTTTAAAAAGAACCTTGTCAACAAGGTTAATATTAGCGTTTCAGTCAGGTTCTCCCAAGTAGCCTCAGTAGTGGGTAGCCCAGTCCACTCAGCAAGGACTTGATTCAATTCCCGACCCTGCAGCAAGATTGTATGGGGTTGCAGAATTGTGGTAGGCACCAAAATCGGACCATTATGATTGGCTAGCAGTGACAAAGATAAGTATTGTAGAGCATGTGAACTTTTGCACGGTTTAAGGACTGAAATGTGAAAAAAAGATGTATTAAAGCACCAGCAGGTAAGAGAAATTTGTAGGCAACATCACCGATGCGTTCCATCCCAGGAAACTGACCAAAATAACATGATCCAAGCTTTTGATTTTGGCGAAGAGCGAGGGAATGCTGACGATAAACCAGACCACCAATGTGGAAAATTCAAGTGTATCTTGGTGTTATCCTGTTTTTTCATGAAAGTTTTGGGCCTTCAACAAATCAGTTTTGTGCTGCTGTAACTGAATGTCTCTCTTAGTAAGTTCGGGTCCGATGCTGCAAGTTCATACTTAATTAGCGACGATGGTTTGCGGCCATAAACTACTTTGAAAGGATACAAGCCGATGCTCTTATGAAAAACAATGTTATACCAATACCCGGCCCAAGATAAAATTTAGTTCGCTGTTTCAAACTCTGCCCAACCTATGATATGAATAAGTATATCCCCGTAGCTTTGGAGAGTCTTAAAGCTATTTCTTCATACTTGAATAGCCTGGCAATGCTCCATCAGGGACCCTGGTGGGTGTCATATTTGAGGAAGTCCCGCGATGTGGTGGCATTGCCCACGTGCCAAGGACATGATATAACTTGCTGAGTCCCATTTAAGATATCTTGTGTATCCCAAGTGACTGCAACTCAGTGGGTCGAGAACATTGGTACCCTATGGGTATAGGGTATAATATTCATGACAATCCACAATCCCAAGCACGACGTCTATAAAGGCGGAGTTGTTTGAGAAAAGACACGATGATTCATAGCCCTTAAACACAAGACTTGTAAAAGTGAAGTGTTTGAGGAGGTGATGTGCCCATTGAGGATATTACTTAGGTCATATAGTGTTTCAGGATCGAAACTAGTGGGATAAGAGATGTTTAGGATTCCCTCTCTAACGCTTCCATGTAATTCTTTTTGGTATTTCCCATTAAACGGTTGAGATTAAATCAAGTGTCTTGAAAAGGGCATTTGATCTAAATTTTTAGTTGTGTGTAACACTCTATTTCTCCATCGGTAATTTATATAATAATCAGAGTAATTTAATTTTTAAATAAACATCAATCAAATAGGTGCCGTATCTCAAATTTGTCATACCTCGATTATTTGATTTTTTCAAGATTAAAATAATAAAGAAACGTTCAATTAAGGATGGTACAACAATACTTGATGACCCATTCTTAAAATTTAAGTCAACCAAGGGGATGTATTTTAAATGGGGTTTGCTAAATCAGAAAGCCTCATGTATCCGTGAATCCATTCGCAAAACATGTTGGCCTATAGACCATGCGATTCGAGAATGAAAAATTATTTAAAAAAATAATAGTAATTATTAAGTTTGTAAGTCCTTTTAATTGTTGAATAAAGAGAGGGGATGAAATTGCAATTTAAGGCTCATTAGGATGTGATCCACTTCATTTTGGATAAGTAAATAGAAAAGAGGAGGTACGGTTGTAAATTACTGGCCCATTAAAATAGCTCTAATAACCCAGTTGCTGCTTTGTGATTATAGAAAATTATTATTAAGACTACTGTTTAATTTAATAGAAATATATAAGAATATTGTATTAAGGTTAATTTCTTATTTTTTATTTCTATTATTAAGCAAATATTCGGTTAAATATTGGTTTTTAGTATTTATAACATTTTGTAAAAAAAAGAAGAAAAAAACAATTGACATTGGGGTTAAAGGGGTCAGTTGGGCCTAATTGTATTTGAAAAAGCGTTTTTGGTTGTAAATAAAAAAAAATGTAAGATGGGTTGAGCAGATTAATTAGCGCTAGGCCCATGTTCCGCCAACACATATTGCATCGATCAAAAGCCTGAATTAACACGTGTGTTTATCAACAACACTTAATGTACAGATTTAATAAAAAAAAGAAGAATCAAATCTGAATCTCCAAAATAAAATCAAATGAATCTGCAAATCTTCAGAAATTACTGATACAATCCAAAATTCAATTACAACAGAAAACTGAATCTCATTGCAATTACATCGAATCTAAACAAAATCTAAATCCAAAATTACTAAATTAAAAAGAAACAAATCTAAATTTATACAGGCGACGAAGGCGACGAAGAAAAACCGGGGGCGGCCGCCAAAAATTTCGGTACCGCCGATAACTTTGAACCTCTCACCACCACCTCCTCTAATGCCGGAAGAAAGCCCACAAGCAAAGATGGAATCAGAGACAACAATGGAAGTTCACGACGAAGAAGCTAGCTCTGCAGATACCATAACAAAGACGAATCTAGAAATCCCTAATCGTAAGTTATGGGTTGATGTGCTAACAGAGAATAGGAATAAAGCTAAGGGTTTGGAAATAAAGTATATACCCCCTACTGTTATTGATGGCGAAATGGAAATTGAAATCGATGAGGACGATGCAAACTGTGAAGCTCAATACTGGGAAAATTCGCTTATCATGTACGTATTGGGGGAAGACCTAAGTATGCACTCGGTAAAGAATTTCATGATAAAGACTTGGAACAACGTTCAGTTACCTAACATTTTCTACCATGAAGAAGGGTATTTCATACTCCGATTTGGTACCAAAGACGCGATGGAAACAGTTCTAATGAAGGGGCCTTACACCCATAGAGGAATGCCTATGATCCTGAAAGAATGGAGGAATGGTTTCAATCTAAAGAAAGATATGATGAGAACCATCCCAATCTGGGTGAAATTCCCCATGTTGCCCCTCCACCTTTGGGGTAAGTCTAATTTGAGCAAACTAGCTAGTGCCATTGGTGTACCACTGGTGACTGACGAATGTACTGCTAGTAAACTGCGGGTATCCTATGCAAGAGTCTTAATAGAGGTTGATATCACTCAGAAATTGTTAGAGGAAATCAGTATCAAGGAAAAGGAGGGTACCACGGTTATTCAAAAGATAGAATATGAATGGAGGCCTAAATACTGTGAGAAATGCCAAACTGTGGGTCACAACTGTGAAATCAGAGTAAGACAAAATAAATGGAGACCAAAGAAGAGACAACCACTAGAAGCAACTCAAAGTAAGGAAACAGTCGGTTCCCTGTCCCAGAAAATTCCTGAGATGGAAAAAACCACTGCAATTGTGTCTACTCCTAAAGGGAAGGATCCTGATAGCAGGAATCAGGGTGTGGGTTCAAAATCAAAAGGGGAAGGGAGTTGGATTTCTCAAAACAAACAGGGGAAAAGCAGAAGTCCTATGAAAGGCCAGTCTGAAGACGCAACAACTTTACTATGTGAGAATGGTTATGGGGTACTAGGGACTTTGAATGAGCCTCTAGTATTAGATAGAGGACCATGCTAGTCTCTTGGAATGTTAGGGGACTCAACAAGTTGGGGAAGATAAAAGAGATAAGCTCCCTTCTCTTACATCTACAACCAACCATTAGCATCTTGCTTGAAACTAGAGTTAAAGAAAATAAGGCCAAGAAAGTCAGAGATAAGCTTAATATGCACAGATCCTGCATCGATAACTACTCTGCCCACCCCAATGGTCGAATCTGGATTCTTTGGGATGATACAAAGGTTGATCTGAAGCTGCACAGTATGTCTAGTCAACACCTTCACTGTGGCATATACACAGTCACAGGGGAGTTTCTCTTCTGGCTTACTGCAATTTATGCCTTAAACCAATTGGACATGAGAAGAATTCTTTGGAGAAAGCTGGAAAACATCCACACTAACCAAGCTGGCCCTTGGTGTGCCATAGGCGACTTCAATAATGTGGTTACAGCTAGGGATAAAATTGGTGGTAAAATGGTGAGTGATTATGAATTTGTTGATATTGCAAGCATGATGAGAAATATTGAACTGTATGAAATGGATAGTGTGGGGGACCACTACACCTGGTCAAATAAGCATGCCACTGGTACTATATATTCTAGGATTGACAGGGCAATCTACAACACTGAATGGTTCCAGCTTTTCCCAGAGCATGTGCTGAGTGTTTTGCCTCCAAATGTTTCTGACCACTCCCTGCTTTCTATCAGTGGGCCTACTGAGGATAAAAGAAGTAATCACTTTAAATTCAACAACTACCTCATTGATATCAATGGATTCAAAGAAATGGTCAAGGTTTCCTGGGATAAACCAGCCTGTGGGGACCCTATGCAGGTTCTATGGTACAAGCTCCAAAGGCT